CTTTTGAACCAATCAGGTTCCATACAATGCCACTTTTTAAACCTTTTTCTCAATAACGAGGTTTAACAAAGCTTCAGGCCAAACCAGATCTTTTCTCCTCAATAACATCTAGTCTATTATTTCCAAATAAGAACCTTGATCCTAAATTCTTAAATCACAAAGAAATAAAGATTCCAGATCTCGGTAGTCTTAAGGATATAATAGAAAGAGTTATATAAAATCACACACAGACAATGCCACCCTTATATCCAATGGACACTTCTCCTTGATATGCCACCCTTATAACAAATGGACACCTCTCCTTGATATGTCACTCTTATTCCTTCATTAAAAACAGAGCTACTTATCAGAACAAACAAAAGTCACCACGTCTGAAAGTACTCATTCCCAGTTCCAAGCCAGAACATACAAAAGTCACCACATCTGGGGGAACTACTTTTTAAAACAAATTTCATACCAAAACAGACTTACGTCACCACGCTTGGTAGAAACCATTTATATCAAAACTTCATTTTTATGGTAAAATAATAATTTTCATCAAGCCACAAAATATCATCTCAAAACCGATCAACAAATCCGGTCAACCAATCCGATCAACAAATCCGGATAACACATTGTAACACTTTGTCCGGATAACAAGTCCGGTCAACACCATAATAAAATTCATCTTTGTCCGGATATCTAATCCGGTCAATCATACCACACACTTGTTAAACGGTTTAACACTTAGAACAATTTCAAGTTTGTCCGGATAACAAATCCGGACACTAGTCCGTTCAACTCTCATTCGGTTTAAAGATAAACCGGTCCCCATGTGGTCGTATTCCTACTTCTCAGTTTAAATACATAAGTAATTTCTTTATTTATAAACCGCTCAATACTCAACCGGTTTACCAACTCCGGACAACAAACCGCTCAAGGCTTGTCCGGTTTATACTAATCCGGTCACTAAACCGCTTAAGACTCATCCGGTTTAAAACAATCCGGACAACAAACCGTTCAAGGCATGTCCGGTTTATACCCTTATCCGGTCAAGCTTTGTCCGGATAAACACTTGAACAAAATTTAGCAAGGTTTCTATTCAAAGGAAACTAATAATACGAAATATGAATTCAAAACCAGTAGAAAGCTTTTATATAAAAAGTTTTAGAACCACTCACCTTATAAAGCTTTTGAACACAAACTGCTTGAAATCAACCTTTTGAAATCCAACCCTTGCAAAATAGCTTGAAATCGACTTCTTGAAGTAAAAACCGGGCAACACTCTTTAGAGCACTCAACTCTCTCAAAATGGCAGGAAACCTCAAAATAAAGAGATGAAGCCTCTTTTATACTCTYCCAAAATGGAAAGTCGGCTAAAAACTCTTCCACCTCATGCATAACTCAACTCATTTATAACCACACATTCATGCACATAATGCATGTATACTTCCCCACATATGCACAACTTAATCCACATATATATATATATATATTATTATATATATGCTCATCATATAAGTATATATATATATATATATATA